CCCCCCCCAAAAAAAAAAGTTTTATTTTTTAATTTATTTTTAAGATCCACCCAGTCTCCCTACCTTATGAGAACTGGAGTGAATCCTTAGCCTGGGGTCTGGCGTCCAGTGTGGGCTGCTGTGCGGTGACGGAGCTCCATCCATACATGCATTGCTTGTACAAGTCCCTTGCGCGCCCTGTAGAGGTGCCGGTAGCCAGAATGTGACGTCACTCTGGTCCAGGCACCTCTACAGGGCACGTGAGTGAGCTGTAAGCAATGCATGTACGGATGAAGCTCCCTCGCAGCCATAGCTCCATCCCATCTCACCTCAAGCTGACACACGGCATCGGGCAGCATATTTTGAATGGCTGCTTGGCACGAGAACTGAGAGTGCTGCGCTAGGGGGAGGCTGAGGAGCCTCTCACCTAGAAAAGTGGAAGGCACACGGGGACCCACTGAACATGGGGTCCCGACTCAATTTTGAGTTCACGATCCACCAATTGAGAACTAAGGCTTTAAATGTTGCGTGTTTACATGCATACGCTATGCATTTAGATACACGGTACAAAATCCTAACATCCAAACGTGTTTACATTCATTTTGGTACATTTAGAAGTTCAAAGTGTTTCCTAAGTTCACCTGACTTCTATTTTTTTGAAAATGCAGATAAAATGATCTAGAATAAACTCATTAGAATTCATTAGATGCATATATATGCATTTACAAAAGCTTTTTAAAAACACATATAAAAGCATCTAATCGCACATTGTGTGAATGAAGCCTAATTCTCTTTGCTACGGAGAAAAAGTAACAGCTTGTTGACAGCCATCTCATTAACATCACATTGATTCCAATGCAGATAAAGATATTCCCATCAACTAGATGCATCTCCAGGTAGCAAAGAGATGGCCCGGGTAGCCCTAGTCCAGGGGTGCCCACAAGGTCAATCGCGATCTACCGATCTACCAGTCGATCGCATAGCGATCACTGGTAGATCGCCATGTCCTCTCCTCCCGCCGCTTCTCTGGATCCCCGCTGCTCTCCCCAGCGGGGATCCGAGAAGACGTGAAGGAACCGGCGGCGGGGGAGGGCGGAGGACGGAGCCGCTGTCACTAGAATGCAGAGCAGTGAGGAGAGAGAGAGAGACGCTCGGCCAGGATCTGACAGCCGGCGCCTCTCTCTCCCCTCAATGCTCGTCCGTTCTGTCACAGCAGCTCCGCCCCCCCCCGCGGCTCGTAATATCAGGGGGATCCAGAGGAGAAGTGGCAGCCCCCCTGTGCGTGGACGAGCGGCAGAGGATTGGTACATGTCACCAGTATGTACCAATCCTCTGTGTGGGACAAACACTGGAGCGATCGGCTGATCACTCCAGTGTTTGTAAATAACTGGGGACACATAGTACTATGTGTCCCCAGTTATAAATGATGCTCGCAGCATTTTTGCGGCTCGCACTGGACTGGAACACAGGCACTAATGCAGGCGATCGCCCTGTGGGCGAGGGGCCTGCCTGCGCAGCCTACGCCCCCTCCCGCCCCTGAATGCAGGTGTTTTTTCGTTGGTAGATCTCAATGAGCTCGTCATTTGAAAAGTAGATCTCCAGACGAAAAATAGTGGGCGCCCCTGCCCTAGTCTTATGAACATGCTTTACAAGACATATCAAGGTGCTTTTGCCAGCTGTATGTAAATATGCATTCAAAACAGATCGAACTTGTGAATAAAATCCTGCCTTGTCACAAAACACAGCAATGCTTTTATTTGAAAAAATAAAAGGGAATTTTAATTATTAAAAAGTCATTTTGAACTCCAGTCAAGCAAATCGACTGCAGGCAGCAGGAAGCATTGTCTCAGCTTTTTCTCCCAGTCATTAAACTATTCAAAGAGATTTCTTAACCCCTTCATGACTGAGGCCCTTTTTTCATTTTTTGCACCCATGTTATATTCCACATTTTAGGCCTGAAAATGACTTAAAACCCCCCAACATTATATATTTTCTGAATGCCAAGACCCTATAGAAATTAAAGTCACAAAGAGCACAACATGAGGGCTAATCTGTCTGAGAAAAGCTGTATATGCATTGCCAAAGGACATAAATGCTACTGCTCAGGCACCAGGAAATGTGTCATCTAAGGGACAGCAGCATACTCCAGGAAGTAGATTGACCTGAACAAGGATGGTGCCAATCTTCTGGTGTGAAGAGAAAGGCAATGTTGGGAGATGTACTGCGGTAATAAATACCTACAAACATTACTTTAAAAGGTTAATAAGCATTCATGCATTGGTAAGGGGCTATTTCTAAAGGCATCCCAAATTATGTGGTAGTAAATTGACAACACACACACAAAATAATGCCCCCCAGGATGTCTTTGCCATAATGTAGTAGTATGCACAGCATAATAGCACATTATGGCAGACTTAAGGTGCCCATACACTGCACGATTATCGTACGATAATCGTATGCGATCGTTTTTTCGTACGATAATCGCGCAGTGTCTGGGTAGCGTGCAACCGCAGATACTGTACAATCGTACGACGTTTGACTACCTAGCATGTTCGAAAACCTCTGCGTAATCGTACGATAATCGTTCAATGAGTAGGAGTAATCGTTCGTCAATGTCAGCGCAATCGTTAAACGAACGAGCAATCGGAAGTAGAATGACGGCAGCTGGCTGTACTCGCAGCATCCACACCTCTGTTCTGGTTCCCACATGGACCACTTGCTCAGCCATTGCTGGGGCTACATGTTGCGTACAGATGCAAGAACCAATGCTCACACCAAAATCCATATCTCCTCATGTAGCTGACACACATGCTGACCACTCCCCATGTGCACCACACATGAGGCTGCTGAAAGTGACCCCCTAATAATTGCAATGAACCACATGCAACGCAAACCATGCAACATGAATAACATGTCCATTCTCCTTTTGGAGACAATTTGATAAAAGTGAAATTGTCAAACATGCCCTACACATGTGTATGCTGTGTGTCCCTGGGCATTGCACAGCTGCGACATGCATCAGGCAAAGCAGGCATTCCTACAAATAAACATCCCTGACAAATGCATGCACAGCATCAGTCAAGCAGGGAGACTGTACAGAGGTCATGCCTGAAATGAGGACACTGACACAAGGCATACATTAATAAAATATTTATATCTGAAAAGTATTAAATATAAAGTGAAGTAAAAAAGGGGGGTTGTAAACAGGGGAAGGGCAGTGCAAATGCCAACGTGGCAAATGTGGCAAGATGTGGAGCTGATGTCGCCTACAGCTTCATGACTTCGTCACGTACATACTGGAGAGCCCACTGCTCGGGATCAAACGATTACTTCCGTCGGTCGATTGAAATCGTACGATTATTAGTACGGTCGTACGATTATCGGATCGACCTCTATCGAGACAAGTTGGGTGTGTCGCACGATGATCGTACGATATTCCGATCATCGAAGGGTTTTATTTGTACGATAATCGTGCAGTGTATGGGCACCTTTACCTTGCAGGTGATAGTCTCCAGCGTTTTTGCAGCTGAGACTGCTTTTCATTGGACAACTGAAAACAAGCTTTAAAACACCCTTACATATGAACAGAAACGCCTGAGAAGCGCATACAAAATGCGCACACAAAAAAAGCGCTGAAACGCTATTGCCCTGGTGTGAATGGGGACTTAATGTAAACGCCCTGTTTGGGTAATAATATGAGAACAATGCCACTACAGGTGGTTCACCATAAGGGGGTGGAAGTGGTAGCTTTTGCCTATCGTACAGACCTCTTAACCACTTGCTGCCCGGAGCAATTTCTTACATTTGCACACACAATAAAATCTGAATTTGTGGCTAGAACAAGAGCTTCAGACCAAACAATGATATATTTTCTAAAAGCAGAGGCCCTGTAGAATAAAAAGAGTGCTAGTTGCAATTTTTTATGTTGCACGGTATTTGCGCCAATG